GCGTGTGTGTTCGCGCACGTTTTCCACGGGGAGATGCGCGCGAACGTGCACGGTCAGGGATGAACTTCATGGTTCGCCCTTCGATTCCGCTTTTGTGTGGATGTGTGAGGATGTGTGAGGAGAGTATCAACAAACGATTGTGATCGTGCTGTACTCAAGTGGCGAAGCACGGAAGCTCGGATCGAACACGCGGCGGCCAATAACGAAACACAACGTCATCGTGAGCACTTGCCATACCCGATTGGTTTTGTGTGCTGTCCGCCGATCTGCCCAATGGACGATCAATCGAAACACGCGGTGGCAATGTCGACACAGCGAACGCATCCATCGACCAATCGGGAAACACGATGAGATCACTCGCGATCGGATGATTGGTCGTGTGTGCCGTGTCGACGTCACCACCGCGTGTGTGTTGTTCTTTCTGTCATGTGTGTTCAGATCACTCGTGATCTGATGGTGGATCAGATCCATGACAATATGTACACCATACACGTGATGAACCGACCCATCACGAAACGCAAGCCGGCCACTCGCGATCGGGTGATAGATGCTGTTTGCTTCCCCAATAACAGCGCCGCTTATCTGCCCGACGGATGATTAACCAATGCACGAGGCGACAACGCATCCAACCGACCAATCGCGAAACAACAGAAGATTACTTGCGATCGGATGATTGATCATGTGTGCTGCACCGAAGATCAACCCGCCGGCGAGCGACCTGTTTATTTACCCACCTGACAGTCCTCGACCTAACCGTCGATCGGTCAGGAAATCTGCCAGGATCAACTGATTGGTCGACAGCTCGGTTGGCGATTGCTCTGCTGGTTGATCAACCACCACACCAACCGCCAACCGAGCAGCCGATCAACCAATCGACTGTTCTRTGCTAATTGATMGTGGAGAACGATCGCGGARAATCCTCAAGGCAAATGATCATGTGCACGATCGAAACCGGCGAACGAAACGCACAACCGATCGGAAAAACGTCGATCCCGATCTTCGAACGAATAAAAAGCACTTCATCACAATCTTGTTATACATCGAACCTCGTATCTCATCGAACCATGCTGCCCATGGAACCTGGCCCCACATCAAACCTCGGCGGGCGTCGAACCTCGTCGAACGTCGAACTTTGGAGGACGCAGGGTCGTCGATACTTGACGGTCACTGAACGGCGAACGTTGAGCACCCACCACCCCACGCGTCGCCGGCACTGTTCTCATGATCGGAACGTGGCCGTTCCAACCAAGCTGATCGCGCAATCAAACATCGGAAGAAGTTGGGATCCCGGCGAGCTTGTGCAGCTGTTCGAACACGCTTCTCAACCCCGGTGCGCAAGCACAGCCAGGGACGTGGAAAATTAGAAGTCCGCCGGGATCCGAACTTCAAGAAATTGCTGGACGGCGAGTTTGGCAGACACGTGTGCATCTCCCATGCAATTTCGCCAAGTTCGGATCCCGGCGAACTTCATGCAGCTGTTCGAACACGCTTCGCAACCCCGGTCCCCAACCACAGCCTGGGACGTGTAAAAATTGGAAGTCCGCCGGGATCCGAACTTGAAGAAATTGCTGGACGGCGAGTTCGGCAAACAGGTGTATGTCTCCCATGCAATTTCGCCAAGTCCGGATCCCGGCGAACTTCATGCAGCTGCTCGAACACGCTTCACAACCCCGGTCCGCAACCATAGCCTGGGACGTGGAAAAATTATGAAGTCCGCCGGGATCCGAACTTCGAGAAATTGCAGGATGGCGAGTTTGGCAGACAGGTGTGTATCTCCCACGTAATTTCGCCAAGTTCGGATCCCGGCCAACTACAGGTTCCTGCTGGCCTGCGGATTCAAACCTCGCTCGCACTATTCCTTGCACACTCGTCGAGTCTGGACCTCGGCGAACCTCGGATCCGTGATAATGCGAAGTCCGCCGAGATCCGGACTTCTACTGCACCGTTCCTCGCATAGACGTCAAGTTCGCACCCTGGCGACTTCACTTGTCTTAATGTGCGGGTTCAGAACGCGGGTTTCTAGCTCCCGGGGTTTGGCACAACTTTGTATTTGAAAAAATGTGTAGCCCGCCGGTTGATTCTCTCCCACGGTCTCGAGAAGTTCGGATCCCGGCGAACACCCTCCCGTGGATCCGGACCTCGCGTGGCAAGTTTGAACCCCGGCGAACTTCGCGTCGCGCATGGTGTGGGTACTGACTGTGTCCTTTCTCGCGAACGGGTATTTGCCACAACTTTTGTTTCGCAAAAGTGCGAAGTCCGCCGGGATCCGTACTTCTCGTGCAAAGGTTCCTCGTCCCCTCATCCGGTTCGCCTGTTTGGCCGTGGATCCGAACCTGCTGTCTTCCTTTCGCAATGCATGTGGCAGGAGATATTCCTTTCGCAAGTTTGGATCCCGACGAATTTGCCAAGTTCGGATCCCGGCAAATTTGAGTTGTTTTCCTTTCGCAATGCATGTGGCACGAGATGTTCGTGCTGGGCCGTGGATTAGAACCTGCCGTGCACGGTTCCTCAGACAATCGTCAATTTCGGATCACGGCGGACTGCGGATTCTATAAAATGCAAAGTCCGCTGAGATCCGAACTTCCCGTGCACGGTTCGTCGGAAAACCGTCGACTTCTGACCCCGGATTGCTTCACCTTTCGGGTGGTGCGGGTTCTGACTGTGGACTTCCCGGCGACCAGTGGATTGCCACAACTTTTTATTCGTACGAAATTGAAGTCCTCCTGGATCCGAACTTCTTGGCAGTTTTGGACGTCGGGTTTGGGAGACAGCTTCGTCTTTCCCGCGCAGACTCGCCAAGTTCGGATCCAGGTGAACATGTCGCACAGCGTGTTTGCGGCTGGCCCGCGGGCCGGTAGATGTGAACACCGACGAAGCCGGCCACCCGAAATCGGATCTTGGGGCATACACCGCATCTAATGCCATGGGTCGCACATCGCGAGACATAACAAGTTTATGAGTGTCTCCGTGCCCGTGTGTGTCGTCGGGCATGTGCGCGTGGTGTGCAGGTTGCGTGATGGAGGGGACCTTCTCGACACCACGCATCTTCAAGTCAATCTTCTCGAGACCACAGATCATGAGTGTCGAGACACACATTCGCTTAGCAGAACCTTTTCGTCCTTGTGCGAAATCCGTACGACATTTCAACGGTGTGACGACGATCCACGGAGCGACCGCAGAGGACTTCGACGAGGACCCATGGATGACCGTCGTTCCGTGCAGGGACACACATCTTGACGACTGGGGCGAGGGCAATTGGGCCAGTATGGAGAGTCACTGCCCTTGGGCAAGCCAGTATAAGTTCTGGAATATGTTGGAGTTCGGGGACCTCATCCCACTGCCTGACGCCGTCCTCGGACATAAGTTCCTTAACCATATGCGGAAAGCACTAAGCTGCATTAGCCGCTATTTCAGTCGCCTCGAGTGCCACAACGTCAGGTCGTCGCCACGAACTTGGGGTGGCTCGTGGAAACAAGAGTTGGTGGACTGCGCTCGTCGCTGCTCGTTCCTGGAGCAGTATCCGCTCCGTGCCCCCGGGATTTTTCCACGAGCTGTGTCGTACTGCTGTGTGCGGTTGTCTGTGTCCGGATCTGATTTCGCCAAAGTTCTGTGTGACGCTGCTTCGAACAAGAGCAGGAAACTCGTCGACGCAGTTGTGCTCGTGTCGCGCAACGAGGTTGTGATTGAAGGGTCCAAATTCGTGCCGATGCGTGGGCCTGAACGTGTGGATGGGTGGCCAGATTTGGTGATAGCAGGTCAGATTCGAAACTATTCATTGTTTCGTGAGGTTGAGGAGAAAGCGACTGACATACAGGACTGCATAGGAAACTCCTTGGCACGACCGGGGGTGTTTGTTAGGATGAAATACATGTTCGTTTTTTCGGAGAGTGCATCGGTCGACGAACCGCAGACCCACGTATACGGATCGTCACTGAATGCTTTGTTTGGCTTCGGTTCACGACGTCGTCCCGGGGGATCCCCAAATGTCACCGCATCCGAACCGGTCTTTAGTCCTTCTGTTTGAGGGAAAAGAATGGCGAGGGACGAGATGCGGTTGTGCTGCCTAACATGTCAGATTTGTAGGACTGCACAGAAGTGTGAGACTCTGCGGTTGCAGGTACACGCTGCGCCGCGCACTTGTCGTGCAAATCCCTGGTCGTCGTTCGGTTCATTGACATGACGAAAGTCATGTTGGACGTCCGTCTCTGACGTCTCTTGCCATGTCGTGCCCCGGCGAAGTTCGGATCTCGGCGAACTTCGCGTTCTGGCCTCTCCGTTAATTTGTCTCTGTTGTCATTGGCGTCAGGCGGGCCACGCGAAAGACCCATCACCGCGGAAGGATCTGCCCGTAACCGGTTTTCGCCCGTCCACCATCAACATGTGCCAAACAGTCGGTCACTGTCGTAGCCAGATGCCAAAAGCACTCTTAGAGATCCCCGTCGCAAGGTCGCGCGAGCTTCACGTTTCCTGAAACCTGTTGGAGATCCCGGTTGGCGGGCCCTCTTGTTGGAAATCCCGCTGGCACCGTACTAGGACACCTTGCTAGGACCCCAACTTTCTGTCTGTCTCTCTCGCAGCCTCCTGAAGTTCGGATTCCGATGAACTTCCTGTGACGCCTATGTATTGAACGGGCGCTGGGCTTGATGATCCCCCGTGGATTCCGACACGAGTCAAACCCTGATCCACAACTGCTCCTCCAGGGACTCATACAATGTTGTCGCGGCTGCTCGTTCAAACTTGGCTTCATCCAATGCCAAGCTGCGCATATCAGAAGAAGTTCGGCTTTCGGCGAACTTGTCCTTCTCAAGCGGCCTTTTGTGTTAGTGCGGCCTTTCCGGGTCGTGGTTCAGTCCAATCTATGTTTGCCTGACGTCGTCTCTGCCTGTCACATTTTCCTGAAGTTCAGATCCCGGCGAACTTCACGTTTCCGTGGGTGCGTTGGTTTGACTTCGGACAGACACTTTTAGTACGGATCTCGGCGAACTTCGCGTCCTGAACTGTCCGGGTTCCAATCGCTAAACGGAGGACATTGCCCCGTGCAACGTCGGCTTTGTGCGTCACCACCCGTCCATTCCCGATCCGGTGGACATCCGTGTTCCGGAAAAAACCGACGTGGTTGTCGCCCGGCTGCATGAAGCGTGTGCCCTTGTAAAGAATGATCTCGTTGCAGGTAAGAGGTCATTGCTGGTCTTCGCGTTAGAAGTTCGCCGGGATCCGAACTTCGAGGTCCTCGGATAGCATCATGTGACCGACGTGTTGAGGGCAAGGTGTGCCTCCTCTGTTTTTCGCCTGCGTTGTGCTTTGACTGCCTTTTGACGCTCGTTGGTGTTTTATTTGTTTTCTGTTGTCGTCCGCAGACAATATGTCTTCGTCCAGGGGCGAAGGGGAGCCTACAGCGACCTCCGGGATGGGATCTGGGAAAGATTCTACAAAACGGTCGTCTATGACCTCGAGGACGTGGTCCGACCACGCTAGGTCGAAATGGTTCGTCGACTGGTGCTGTGCTGATGCTACGAACCCGGTCCAACAACCGTGTGGTCCTGTGATCTTCGTCGAAGCCAACAAGCGCCGCAGGGTTCTGGGGGCTGTCTTGCAGTGGGAGAATGCTAAAGGTAGTCGTCGACGGTTTTACATGAAAAATGTGTACGGTTCGAAGGGGAACGTCGTCGCCGGTGCCAAGGGGGCAGTTCTCGACATGTGTTTGTTCGAGGGGTTCGGAGCGGGTGCTGCGAACACCCCGTTCTACAACAACCTCCGGGGGCAGGGCGGGTTTGTTTTGGGTTGCGAGTTCTTCGACCTGTTGGAGGACAAGGGCATCGCCTTCGACGTCCCTTGCGAAGTCGGTCCCGACCTGGAACTGTCAATTCCTTTGCAGTCGTGCGGTGGTTGTGAGTCGAGCGGGGCAGCGAGGGAGGGGGGGGATCTGGGTTCCGGGGAGGCTACACATGTGCAGCGGGAGGATGCCAGAGGTCAGTTTGACGACAGCGAAGATGAGGTGACACCGCGTCCGCTGTTTTCACCGTCGAGGGAAAGAGACAGGTCCGTGCTGTCCATACCTGGGGTTCGGCAACAGACCGCAGCGGATCCCGGAGAAGAGGGAGTCCTGTGTGGGTCTGACTTGGAGCCCGCCGAGGGCCATGGCGCGGAAGGCGAGGCCGTGGGCGGGGAGGGAGCGCAGGGCACTCCCCCAAAAAGGAGGGGAGAATGTGCAGAAGAGTTGGTGGGCTCTTCGAAGAAATAGAAGACTAAGACCACGAGGATTGCAGGAGAGAAACGGAAGGGGAGGGGGGTGGAAGAGGGCCACCCGAGTAGCAAACGTCCAGCTTCGAAACACAAACAGCCTGAGTCGGGACCTTCTTCACCACGGCCTGCCATCGACGTGGACGCCAGGTACTTCCTGGAGTACAAAGACGGCGTCAGGACAAGGCGGGAGTTTGAGATCAGCCCGGCTCAGATCGTTGACATAAGGGAGTGGGAGGATCTTTACAACCAGCGGTCGCTAGATCCCGTCCTCGTGGAAACCATAAGGGAAGCAATGAGGTCTGCGTTCGAAAATAAAGAACAGACGTACGAGTTGCCGGTCTTCAAGCTCGCACCACTGGGGCTTCAAAAACCAACTCCTGGGACCAAGGCA